CTCACTCACTCACTCTGTGTAATGTCACTATTTTTCTGCTCTGTAGAAGAAAACAATTCCAATCATAACAACACTCCAAACTTTTATCAATACCACTCACTGCTCTCTGTCACCATTGTTGCTGTGTCTTTTTGTTCTGCTCACAAGCAATAGAAATCAAATTTTGTGAAATAATGAGGTTCAAAAGCTTTCTAACTAACCTAACCTTGGTTCAATCTGAGAAAAGTACAGGACATATATAATTGCCAACTCTCTTATCAGCTTAAGGGTATGTCTGTCCCTTTAGCTTTAGGGTATGCCTTGATTCAAATGCCTCCAAGGAACCAAAGCCTCCAAGGAACCAAACAATTTTGTCATTCCCAAAGTTTTCCAGACCCTTCAAACTTCTCTTTCCATCTTTGTGGTCACCACCCTACTCCATCCTAGTTAACAATAGGTTTTGTGTCCATTTTCAATAATGCCTCCGCGGAGGCTCAGTGCACCCAGGGCGGAGTTAGGATTTGAAAATAAGGAGGACTAGAGAAAAAATTCAAACAAAGAATTTATTAGGAAAAAAAAAAAAAATTTCAAGCAAAGAAGATGAAAATACTAAAAATAATATTAGATAATGCCAAACAGCCCCTAAGTCTTCTTCAATCTTCTAGTTCTAATTTATTTGTAGGCTTATTTTCTGAATTGGACCATTTATTATTTATGTTTTTATTATGAATTGTGCTGGACTGGGCTATGGCTAATAGGAAATTACAGTACTAATTATTATTATTAGCCCACAGGGAGCTCCGCCTCTAAGTGCACCAAACTTCCATCATTGCAGAGTCGATTTGTAAAAGGACAAATTAAATGTATGAGACTTTCATCACTGTAGAGTCTAAAAAAAAAAAAATCAGATGTACATAGTTTTATCTCCATATACGAAGAGATTATTTTCACGTGATCTTGAAATTTTTTTTGACTCGAGTTAGTTGTTGTCATGTTTGACAAATTCAAAAAGTTTAGCTTTAATTTAGTTTGGGTTAATTTAGAGCACTTATACAATTTTAAACAAATTTAACTTTAAATTTTATTATATTTTTTAAAGATTAATAATTTTTGTTATGGGCCAAAAAAAAATATTGTAAAAAAATCTACAACACTGACACGATGAGTTTCAGATCAACAACCAACCATACTGAAATCAGGCCCATCAACATGTAAGTAGTTAAATCAGGCCCATCATCGTGTAAAGATTCAATTTTTGGGTTGTCGTTCAGATCAAATTCATATGTTGCCCTTGGCAAATCCAGACCTAAAATTCTTGAAATGCATGAGGGTATGTTGAAGTATTGGGCTGGTCAAAGTTTGTTTAAGAATTTTAAATCAAATATAGTGCAAAATGGCTTATATCGAGGTAGCCTATAAACACGAGGGTCATAGTGCCTCCTCAACTTTTCGAAGTTAAAGGTTGAGGGTTCAAATTTATTTACTAAAATAGTTTTGGGAAAATCATGTTCAATTTTCCCTCTAGATTATCCAAGTGGACACTAGTTTTAGACAAATTTATTAGGGAAAATCGGTAAATTTATCCACATAATTAAAAAGAAAATGAAGAAGCTCCATCTGTAGATGGAAATTGGGCTATCCAGATGAGATTTGGGTTTTTTTGAATTCAAGTCTGATTTACCAGGTAGAATTAAATGGGCCTAGCTCGTGGAATTACACAAATCTAAGTTTGGTCGGCTTAGTCTTGCTGAAACCAAAATCCCTTGGGCCATGACCAAATTGCCCACCACGGTCTTGTGGACTTTGCCATTTGTAGTTCTAAGCCTAGCCACCCACCAGTATGATGTGGACTGACCCAAACCTGGCCCAACACTCTTGGGCCACATCTTCAGAATTAACTCCTATTCAGGGACATGAGTAATGAGTTCAGTGTTTTGGGCCGAACACTCCACATGGCTTCACTTTTGAGTTTTTGACCATTAATAAAAATCATGGAAATGTAAGACAAAGATACAAGTTCTAGAGATGCTCACAATACTTCTTCTTTCTGATGTTTATTTATTTATAATTAAATAATAGACAATATTTGCCAATTCACACAGGTCAGTAAGTGATCCCTATAGATAGTTAATATGGTCTAATTACAAATGCAAATCTCTAATTACAAAATTAGAAAAATAATAAATACGAAAAATACAGTGATTCCTACGGCAGTTTTATCTCTACTTTTGTAGTCTCCTACTATTATTATTATTATTATTTCCTTATAGCACGTGTCCCACAACACACACACCATTCAAGTTAAGAGTGTAGTTCAAAAGTGAAACTTAAAGGACTAACCTCCCGAATTCTTCCAACGCCCCTGAGGACTAGTAGTAGCATGTTATAGTTTGTTGCAAAGTTACAAAACGCTTTTAAATCAAGTTTCAAAACATATAATCTATATTTTAACATAACTTCAACACAATAAATGTGTTACAGCACGATGTTGAAATTAAAAATAATAATATTAAAAAGAAATTTCAGCACACTTGAATCATATTTCAATACATTTGTTTAAGGTATTAAGACAGAACAAACTGTTGAAAACTAGAACAAATTTATTGTAAATCGTTAATTAAATAGGGACTACTATAGTTCGTGGTAGTATCCTGTTTAATTGGTGTATACAACATTAAAAATTTTTATAAAAAAATAATATTAATAATAAATTGGTTGTTGCTCATTATATTTGAACAATCCTATGTCATACTCTGATTCCAGAGTATGAAAACGCCACACACACACCCACACACACACACATATATATTGTTCATGACTTCTCTTATTAAAGATTGAAATCTTAGCATGTGATATCTGATATGATCACTAGCATATCTTTTTTTTGTCCGATAAAGGGTATATAATCACTACCATATCTTAACAACAAATTAGCTGACATCTTCATATCCAATATTTCTGTACGTCTTCCGTATCTCCACCAAACAACAAAAACGTAAAGCACAAATAATGCAGGAAAGGAGGGAAACAGGACCTACACACACACACACATATAATTGCTGCAGACAATATTATTTTTAAAAGCTAAGAATGAAAGATATTTCTCCCGCACCAGTCCAAACCCGTAATCACACAAATTTAATCAAATGCATCGAACACCTCTTAACTGTTTAAATGCCTTATGAAATCATGAGCAAAACGAATAATATTTATGCAACAGGACATATCTGTGACAAATTTCATGAGATGGTGGCTTCACGTTTGGATCTTATATTTTGTTTCTCAAAGCCAATTATAGAGAAAGTATCATGTCTAAAAGGTTCGACTCTCTTGAAGTGCAAAAGTGTAAACAATTCCTTGAGGCTACGACCACGGAAGAAAGTACGAACTTTACCGATCTTCGTGGAGGGAACGCTTTGCAAGGTATCATGGAATTAGTTAGGGCAAAAGGAAAAAATAATAAATAAATAACATGCGTTGTAAGACCATTTTTTCAATTCGAAATTCTAAATTTAATCGATCCGGCAAATATCAATGAATCAGAACCATCTAATCATTTCTCCTATAGATCAACGGATTAATAATTGAACATTAAAAAAGAGCAGATAAAATCACACCTAACGAGGATAGACATAAACGTCAGATGGAGTGTTGTTCTTATAATCTTGATGACCATATGTATGTTTTCACAAGATATGGTTGAGATATACAAATCTTTTTTTACTATACTAGTGAAGAACTTTTGGGTTGCACACAAATCATACCATTTGACACATTTTGCTATATTTTGTCATGAAGTTTTGGTCTGACGACATCTTTTTGCCCTGTACAGTGAATCTGTCACAACCAATTCAGAGACCCCCTCAATAAGAGAGAGTGAAAGTTCATGTCTCACTCCAATTCCTGTATTTCAGCATTGAGAGAATAAATGTTGACCCATCTTTAAATGCTCTCAATACAAATTATATGAATTTAATTTTGTGATTTTTTTGTAGTTTCGAACCACTTAAAAGTTCTCCATTTCAGATTCTCAAAGAATAGTTTTCAAAAATTCTAAAAGAGTACATGAGTGAGTTGTTGAGTTGCCTTGATCTTTCATTTTTATGAATTTATTTATATTAATTGAAGAAGTTTGATGAAATTGAATCAAATGATTCACAATTATCTAATAATTTCTCATAGATGAATAATTGATTGGTGGCTAGTAATTTTGAATATTTTGCTTTCTAAAAAAGTATTTTTAAATTTCTTTTTGTTTTTATTTGCTTTGATTTATTATTATAAATTTTGGCGGCAAAATGTGGGTTTGGTGGGACTAAACGGACACGACAATCGACATTGGTTAACTTAATTAGATTGTATTATCATTTGGTCTAGTGCTTATTATTGTTGATTAGGATAAGATAGCCATAATCAATGGTTAATTACTATTTTTTTTTTAAAAAAAGAGGTCCTTTCTTGTAGTCTCCCTTTGATCCCTAATTTAGGATGTAGGATATTATGACATCTATATATATATATATATATATATATATATATATATATATATAATGTTGACTTTTATAATATATTTGTAGCCTGAGTCGTGTGGATATGCAAATAAATTGAGCCAAGACAGACTTTTTATTTTTATTTTTTAAAGTTTTTGTCGCAGCATGTTATTAGTGTCCATATCTCTTTATTTTTCAAGCAAGAGGTAAGAATTTAAGTTCCCACAAGAGCTTTGTCTCCAAAAAGAATGAAGATCTTTATGGTAGGTAATGGACACTAATTAAAAGAAAAATATTGATGATGTATTGAACTATTTTACATGTTTGAAAAATGAAATTACGTATTATCATGAATTTATTAAATATGATGATGTTATTATAGTGTTATTTATTACTCACATAAATTTAATCGAATGCGCCGGACTCTTGAACTTTATATCTCATTTTTTTATCGAATTAGATGTGTCCAACTTTAGAATCGTGTATGCTTAGTACTCTTAAAATAATTATGTGATCACGATATGACTCGAGTTAATTTAACCATAAGGAGCATGACTAATCTCAGAAGACTACAAAACAAGCGAAACTACAAACAAATTTTGTTTCCTACAGAAAAAAAAAAAAAAAAAAAAACCCAAACCTAGCTAGGTCAAACTACAACCTTCATGCCTTGCATGTAAATGCCTCACATGATAGAACATGCATTAGGGTTTTCATCACTGAACATTGTGGTGAGCCTCTCATCCGTTGCATTCGGGCTCGGAAGCGCCTGAACGACGTTCTTGACGTAGCCGGAGGGCGCCTTCTTGTCGTAAGCTTGAGGGACGTAAGGATAGGAGACCAGATTGTATGGGACATAGGGCCAGAACTCAGCTCTCTTTCCAGTGCTCTTCACTTTCTTTAAGACCTTGTTTGGTTCCACATAGCCAGTCACACTTACACGGCTCTGCTTTCGGTTTACTTCTACTGACCTAGCTCCTGTATCCAAAGGAAAAAAATTCAAATTTTTTAGTAAACATGGGGAACAAATTCAATTTTTTTGTGGATTTTAGGGGTGCATTTCTTAAAATTTCAAAAAATTACTTTCAAAATGATGATGATGATGACGATAATAATAATAATAATAATAATAATAATAATAATAATAATAATATGTTATATATATGATTGAACAATGGAATTGAGAAAGAATCCAAAATAGTGGCTGTTAACATAGAGACAGAGAGAGTACTGTATTTATCATGTGAATTGACTATATATTGAAGTTGGTCTACGTGTATTTACGTGAAGGGCTTGTTTGGTTTGTTGGGAATTGTTGTTGCATTTATTCCTGCATCATTCTGCCAACAACAAATCTAAAAAAGGAGGACAATCAATTGCTATTTCCAGCTATTCTTTAACTGTGCATTCTCACGGTATTGGTAGCTATTGCGATATAATAAATTCGCACAAAATCAGTATAAATTGATCGATATGTACAAATCACGTATTAAATTTGAAAAAAAATCACGTATCGACTAATATGACCAACCATAATTTGTGTATGCATAATATGGTAACTAAATGTCACCTTAGCAAAATCGCAATTGGATTTAGCAATTCTTTCAAAATAAAATTTAGAATACATAAATTTAATATATAATATGTACCATATATGTATTTATGAAAATTTTCTAAGGAAACATTTAAGGCTAGTGTGACCTAGATATAACATCCTCTTGTCAAAAGTAGTAGCTAGACACCACATTCAAGTAATCAAGTCCGTAGTAGCAAAACCAAAGCTTGAAATATATATATTTATATATAATATATATGTATGTATTTATAAAAATATTGACAACTATGTTATGTGACTGAACAAGCTATAAATAAAATAAAATAAAAAAAACTCCAAGGAATTAAAAATCAAGAGGACAACATATAGAAAGAGAGCTTTTATGGAAGTGTCAAAAGTGGGGGATGTGTTTCAGTATATGGAGTATATGTATAGCCTTTTTCATGAGTTGTCAAGCCTCTGCCTCAGAGGGTATATATAGGCCTTCTTTCTTTAATTGAGTTTTAAAATTTTCTCAGTAAAATGCGTCGAATGTATAACGACGCCGTTTTGCGACCTTTGCCAAGCCTGTTTGCCTCTGAGTTTGTGTTTGTGTGTGCGTGTGTGTGTGAGAAAGAGAGAGAGAGAGAGAGATTCACCTTTCATGGAGGATACAGCATGTTTAACTCTCCTTTCACAGCCATCACAGTCCATCTTAACCTTGATATCAACTGTCTGAGAAGGAAGAAAACATGTCAAAGTTTTGTTATGGAAATTAAAGACCACAAGAGAGAGAAGACTTTGAAAAAAACACAGCAAATTAACTTAAAACATGAAGAAGTCCATACCTGCATTGGTTTGCGTTTGCTCTTCCTTGTGCTGCTAACTGTACATAAATCCATCAGATAGTCAAGAGCACCCATCTTTTCTTCTTTTCGATATCTTTAGGTTTATATATATATGCGTGTGTGTGTGTGTGTGTTTATAGAGAGAGAGAGAGAGAGAGAGAAGCTAGAACCGAGTTGGAATGGTGGAGATAAATGAATGGCGACTTGGGCTCTTATATAGACAGGCACGCCCACAGACACACACAAACACACACACAAAGAAATAAGAAGGTAAATGAAAAATTTTGTAGAGGATTGATTGTGTAAGCAAGCTGTGATTAGTAATAATAATAAAATAAAGCTCAGAAAATGACGTGTCCCTCATCATGAAGTGAACACCTAGCTAAAATATCATACTGGACAACTGGGCATTTTATTATTTTTGGGTCTTGCTTGCTTGGCACCCAAATACATGATTAAAACAAAATTTCTGATTTTTGAAAAAACAAAAAACAAAAGCTGTTTTCGTTTTAACCGCGTTGTTAAGTTAAATGGCAAAACTGTTGTCTTGCTGTACGTTTATCTTCGCTGCAACGAAAAAGGAAATTTGTTGGAAAGTGTTCTGTTCCAACTGCTCCACACTGGGCCGCACCTTCCTTCTATATTCGAATAAAATTACTACAATACCCACCCTTTATAGTTTCATATATTTTTCTAATTTACTTCTTACATTTTAAATTCTAGATGAAAATTAATATCTAATATATGCCAATACATATGATATGAACACTTAAATAGAGGTTAGAGAGTCTATTCTAACCCCTTTAAGTTCAAAAAAACTTGAACAAGCTTGAACTCGTATATGACTGTGACAAACATTAAGAGATGTGATTGTATATTATTAAAAAAAACAAAAAAAAGGAAAAATCTATTTTTATATCATTATTAATTCTAAAAACATCATTTTTATTCAACCTTCGTTATATATACATTTACACGAATTAATTAGTTTTTTTTTCCCTCCAAATTTTTGTGGCATTCTTTGTTTGAAGAAGTTGTTGCACTTGCTGTACTGATGGGGATTGTTTTGACATACGAACAGTTCAAAGTCATCCCTGTAATAATTGATTGTGAGTTTGTGAGGCCATCTGTACTCTTGCATTATTATCAGTAAGAAGGAGGTCTCAATCTAGATTTAATTTCTATCATTATTTCATTGACTGTGACTTCCAAATATATATATATATATATATCACTACTCCATACACACTATATATATGTTTATCTCCTTGTACAAATTTTGAAGGGCAGCATACATTCAAAATATAAAGTAAAAAAAATGCTTTAAATGATTTGTTAGATTAACATTTTAAACCGATTAGACCTCAATTGTTGGAAGACTCGTTTAATATCTGTGATTTAGATGTTTTAAAAATAATAAATAAATAAGTGACAATCATGAAGAGAGTCGAACTTTCTAGCGCAACTTACACCACTAATCACATGGTGCATCACCACACACACACACATATATGTATATATATATTTTTTCCTTTTCTTTTTCTAATTGAAAAAAATAAATAAATAAATAAAAATCAAGATGAGAACATATTTAATGAGATGGGTGCATTATTGAAGAGTTTTCCACATATAGTTTGATTTTTTCGTCCACTTTATATGGCACCCTACTTTATAATATTTCATGGTTTATATTGCCCTTGCATTCATGATCCATCTTTATCATATTTAAAATCATATATTGTCATACTGGGCGTTTGATAGGAAATTTCATTAAAAATCTCTAAAACAGACCGTTGAGTCATTAATTAAAATGTTACGCATACGTTGCAATAATTAGGAGAATGAATTAATCATAAGCTCGAACACGGCATATCTGTTCAGAGAAATGAACAATCTACCAACTGAATCATTGATTAAGTCTCAAGTATTAATGTAATCACTTATAATAAATAATTTTGTTAAATACCCTCTGATTGGGGCTAGAATAGTCACCACAAGATATTTAATTACAAATCAAAATTTCAAAATATATTTATAGAGAATTTATCAAAAACACAAACTTGTAACAACTCCCTTCTTCATGGGTTTGTTTGTTTGATGGAAGTGGATGTATAATAATTAATCGTTTGATATTATTTTGCTGCAATTGACTAATTTCACACCTACTTAAGGTCTAATTTGCCTTGTCTTGTAGGTCTAAATTTAAATAATTGCATGATGAGAAGTTCATAAATTAAATTTTTATGTAAACGTGTTGAGATCCAGCACGGTTAATACATCGAGCAGTTGACAACGTGCACACGTATACATTGCTAACCATTCGATAAAGTACAACACTTGTACTCTACCGCATATTATTAGAAAGTCAAAAACTGTGTGAATACGATTTATGGTGACATATATTATTTCTTTTGCATGCACTTAATTTAAAAGCTTTAACTTGTCAAAAGGTTTATCGATGTGTTTCAGAAACTTAGGCCCCAAGCACATTGGAACTGGACTGTAGGCAAGCCAGCTATGCAGACTTAGTTGGTGTTTTGGTAAACGTCCTTGTACACGCCAATATATAATGTTGTCACTATATATATCAAGTTACAAGTAAGCCTATAAAAACAATTTTCTGTTTTCTTTAAAAATCTAAAATGACAAGAAAGAAAAAGCTCATATTATAGGATGATTCATAATAAGCTGTACACGGTCACAGCCCAATTTGCAGAAAAGCATGCTGTCAAAACTTGAGTACTTGACGGTGGATTATAGTATATAATTTCTTTGCTTTTTTTGAAACTAGAGGTAATATAATTGAAAGGGTATTGTTGTTACATGCTTACATCAATATTATGATACCAAAGCACATCAAATTCAACTTCATAAAATAACGTTGTTTGAAAAGCAAATTTATTAAGCTAGCTCAAAGCAAAGGGCAATTTTTGTTTGTAGTTTTTAATTTTTATCATTGCATCCTATTTCATGGCCCCGTGACTAAACTATAATGACCTCTTTTAAAATTTGACTTAAATATTACAATTAAATTCGGGACTTGTCATTTTATTGCGAGGTTTGCTTTTTTGCAAAGACTTCCTACAAAATTTAATCATTTTTGTCAAATTTTTTTGATTAAAGTGACTAAAATGCCCATCAACTAAGTGTAAAAGACCCTATTATCCTTATAATACTACAGAATAACAATAAAACCATGCCTAGTGGACCAAATTGTCCCTTAATTAGGTTTGTTTCATAATATTAAATTAATACTTTAAAACAAATGCCACCACCATTTCACCGGCAGCCATCATTACTGCCAAGCAAACACTCATAGAAACCAAAACCCATATATCATCGCACCACCATCATCACCACCCAATTAGACCCACGACAAACACAATAGCACCCATGACGGATTCAATTGAACTAAAAGGATCCCTAAGTCAAACCTGAAAGCTTTGTGCTTGCTGTCCATGACTATTTTTGGTAAGGCTGCAACTTGGACGGGCCCAATTCAACTCAGTCCCAACCCAACATCAACCGGAATCAGGCTGGGTTGGGCCAACCCGAATTATAATCAACATGGATTATGGTCATAACCCGGACCAAATATTTTCGGACGGGTTGGGTCGGGTTGACGGGTTGCATTTAAAAAAAAAAAAATTCAGAAATTTATATATATAATATATTATTTTATATGTATTATATATATTTGATTATATTATTATAAAAAAAAAAAATTTAGGGCAAATCATTTCAGCCTCCCCTATCGCTCCATCTCTATTCTCTCTGAACTTGCCCTCTCTCTCTCTCTCTCTCGCAAACTACAAAATCTACAAGAATCAGAAGTTCAAAACCCATATATTTCAGTTTTATCTATTTGTCTACAAGAATCAAAAGTTCAAAACCCATATCGACATATCATTTCAGATTGTTCAAAAAATCAAAACCCAGATCTTTCAGTTTTTGTGCATGCCCAAACCCTAAACCGTACTATAAACTCTGTCACACACCCATCACATTTCTTCTCAACTCCACCCAACCCCAACCCCAACCGTACTGTCTTATCAACTCCTTCTATTTTATCAGACTTTTCCCTCTTCTCTTTCTCTGCCTAAATCATAAACCATACATCACATCTCTTTTCAACTTCCACCCAACCTCAGCCGCACATCACATCTCTTCTCAAACCCCAGCCTTTTTGAAATCCAATGGAACCTCCTATTTTCTTTCATCCATTCCCACAACAACAACAGTATATTGTGGTTTTGAGCACAGAGATAGTCGTCTCGGTGCCTGGGTCGACCAACAACCAACTCTACTCAATCCACCAAGTGAAAATCGTAGAGGACTGGAATTTGTGGACTTTAATTCTTGTTTTACAAATCAATTAATCATGGTCTGTAAGTGGGGCGGCGGCGACGACGGCAACAGAGGGGACGACGGAGAGAGAAAGAGAAAGAAGAGAGAGAAAAAAATAAGAGAGAGGAGAGAGAAAAATAAAAGAAAAAAAAAGGGTTTCGGGTTGGGTTTGGGTTGAGCTCGAGCCCAACCCGAATATGTCTGGGTTTTGACAAAACCCAACCCGAACATGAACCCGATTTGTGAATCTAAAGCCCAAATTTTAAAATTTCGGGTTGGGCTGGGCTAACCCACCCAAGTTGCAACCCTAGTTTTTGGTATCAGCCACAACCACCCATCAAAGACCGAAGGAAATTCCGAAATTGGCCTACACTAAATCAAAGACCGATCGAAGGATGTAACCATTAGCGGAGGCGAGAATTTGAGTAGCCCAGACCTAACCAGTACTACTCGGTCGTCATCCCCCGCTTCGACATCCATGTGACCATACCCATCACCATTCCTCTCTATCATCGCCTCTGACAACATTTCACTCTACCACACCCACGTCATCAAACCCAACTAGTCTTGCTTCGCCGTCGTCCAGACTATTGCTGTGATTAGGGGCGGAGCCAGGATTGTATCTCAGGAGGGGCATAATGTATTTGACAGAAAAAAAAAAAAAAAAAAAAACCAACTAACATAGCATATATCATTTTTTTCACACCAAAAGGCAAACAATAAAAACAAAAAATTATAACAAAATCATAAAAAATTTAAGGAACAGTTTAATATTCTATAAAAAATAAAAATAAAAAATTAAGTCGGTAATAGATTGACAGCAAAATAGAAGATTCATTCTGATTTC